TCTCCAAATTCTCTTTACATCCTTTCTTCTTCCGCGTCCTCCTCGTCCCCTGTTCACTCCTCTGCCACGCCCTTCTTTCTCAAGGTAACAGCAAACCAATCCTTTGTTCCACTGAATGCTCCCCGCCTTCTCTGATCCAGGCAACTCGCCAGGGTAAAGTTGCTGGATGGGTTGGTGTGGATGAGCGGAGCTTGAAGAGGTCTTGGGGTGCTCTGACGGCATGCCAAATCCGCCGCCGCGCTTGTGCGGCACTGGCGTGCTGTGTGGTAGGGTTCGTGGACGCCCCCCTCAGGAGGGTCCTTGAGCGCCCCGAGGCCCCTTAATTGTGGGCGCCTTGAGGCAGCTTCCCCTGAACCCAGGCTTTGGGCACGGATGCCGACTTGCCAAGCAACTGGATTGTCAATGAACGTGTTCAGACACAGCCCCGCCGCAGGCGTCGATGTGATGTTGTAGAGTCAACGTGGGCCGGATCAGGGGAATGGCGCGAGGGCGCTTTCCCAAACCAATGCGAGCAAGCCTGCCGCAGGCGCTGATTTTCGTGCTCTGACAAGTTCAGCGCGGGGGGATCGAATGCAAAAACAGCCCGCCGCAGGCGCCAAACTTTGGCTTGTTCAATGAACATAATTTGGGTCGCGGATGGGTCGCTGGCTCTTCACCTTCATCTGGAGAGAATTCAAAGACAGCCCGCCGCAGGCGCCGAACATTTTAATAATCTGTACACTGACCGCGGTTTGGGTCGCAGGTTCTCCGTCTGGAACGAGTGCAAAAAAACCCGTCGCAGGCGCCGAAATTTTGGCTTGCTCAGTGGACGTAGTTTAGGTCGCGGGTGGGTCGCGGGCTCTCTACCTCCACCTGGAAGGGATTCAAAAACATCCCGCCGCAGACGCCGAGCATTTTGATTTGTACACTGAAGGCGGTTTGGGTCGCGGGTGGGTCGCAGGTTCTCCACCTGGAACGAATGCAAAAGAAACCCGCCGCAAACGCCGAACATTTTTGGTGGGTCGCGGGGTCGGTCGCGGGTGGGTCGCGGGTGGGTCGCGGTGGGTCGCGGGTGGGTCGCGGGCGCGGTTTGGGTCGCGGGTGGGTCGCAGGTTCTCCACCTGGAACGAATGCAACAGAAACCGCCGCAAACGCCGAAAATTTTGGGTGGGTCGCGGGGTCGGTCGCGGGTGGGTCGCGGGTGGGTCGCGGGGTCGCGGGTGGGTGGGTCCGGGTGGGTCGCGGGGTGGGTCGCGGGTGGTCGGGGTGGGTCGCGGTGGGTGGGGGTCGCTGGGGGGGCCTCGGGGTGGGTCGCGGGCGGGTCGCGGGTGGGTCGCAGGTGGGTCGCGGGGTGGTCGCGGGTGGGTCGCGGGGTGGGTCGCGGGTGGGTCGCGGGGTGGGTCGCCGGCGGGTCGCGGGTGGGTCGCGGGGTGGGTCGCGGGTGGGTCGCGGGCGGGTCGCGGGTGGGACGACGACAACAACACAACAACAACAACAACAACAACAACAACAACAACAACAACAACAACAACAACAACAACAACAACAACAACAACAACAACAATTTAAGCACTGGGGACACTCCGTTCTCACCAGTGCCAGGGTTTTCATAGGAGGCGGGCAATACCCCCACTTTGTGGGGGGGCCGGTTCAAGCTCTACCAAATTTCCAAACGACTCTTCGCCACCACCCACACCCAGCTTCCCGCCCTATGACGTTCGGACACTTCACTTCGTGGCATGCGGACGACCGTGGCTACTATTCAGGGCCCCGCGGCCGACGACGACGGCGTGCGCGCGCGAAGAAAAAACGAATGTGTCCCGCATGGTATTATTTGACAGGGATGATGGCCCTGGCAGGTGCGCAACCGTTGTCGCAGAAGTTCGAAAAAGTTGCTCGCAAAAGCCCGTTTGACAGAAATGTTTAAAAAGTGTTGGGTTTCCTACGAATCCGCAAGAGCGCGCGGGATGAGATTTTGACATTTTTTTGTTGAAAAACCATTGGTTTTTTGATGTTTTTATGTTAAAATCGCTCCGAACACTAAGCTTTTGGAAGGATTTCGTCTTGCGCGCGCGAATGTCCACTTTACCTTATTTTTTGCAAGGGATTCTTGAACTTTGATTATATTAGAACAAGAAATGTCATTTTATAGTGTTTTTTGCAAGGGAAAACGGATTACAACAAAACAACCGGATCTGGATCACATCGTTTTACCTGAGGCTTCCTCACGAAAATGATGAAAATGTAGCTGCGGCCTAGGCGCGGGGGGGGGGGCGTGCACCAGGGGGCCCAACAATAATTATTCTTTAGAATTAATAATGTTCAACAACAACAACAACAATTACTAGCACGTGGGGACACTCCGTTCTCACCAGTGCCAGGGTTTTCATAGGAGGCGGGCAATACCCCCACTTTGTGGGGGGGCCGGTTCAAGCTCTACCAAATTTCCAAACGACTCTTCGCCACCACCCACACCCAGCTTCCCGCCCTATGACGTTCGGACACTTCACTTCGTGGCATGCGGACGACCGTGGCTACTATTCAGGGCCCCGCGGCCGACGACGACGGCGTGCGCGCGCGAAGAAAAAACGAATGTGTCCCGCATGGTATTATTTGACAGGGATGATGGCCCTGGCAGGTGCGCAACCGTTGTTGCAGAAGTTCGAAAAAGTGGCTCGCAAAAGCCCGTTTGACAGAAATGTTTAAAAAGTGTTGGGTTTCCTACAAATCCGCAAGAGCGCGCGGGATGAAATTTTGACACTTTTTTGTTGAAAAACCATTGGTTTTTGATGTTTTTATGTTAAAATCGCTACGAACACTAAGTTTTGGAAGGATTTCGTCTTGCGCGCGCGAATGTCCACTTTACCTTATTTTTTGCAAGGGATTCTTGAAGTTTGGTTATGCTAGAACAAGAAATGTCCACTTTAGCTTATTTTTTGCAAGGGAAAACGGGGGACAACAAAACAACCGGATCTGGACCAACCCGTTTTGCCTGAGACTTCCTCACGAAAATGATGAAAATGAGGCTGCGGCCTAGGCGCGGCGGGGGGGGCGTGCACCAGGGGGCCCAACAATAATTATTCTTTAGAATTAATACTGTTCAACAACAACAACAACATCAACAACAACAACAACACCAACAACAACAACAACAACAACAACAACAACAACACCAACACCAACACCAACAACAACAACAACAACAGCAGCAGCAACAACAACAACAACAACACCAACACCAACAACAACAACAACAACAACAACAACAACAACCACCACCACCACCACAACAACAACAACAACAGCAATAATCCGCACCGCGGACTTCCACTTCAGCCACGCACCCAGGGACAGTGAAGGACCGTTCGGTTCAGCCCCCTCACTCTGACGACCATTCTCCTGACCCAATTATCCTCGTTATAATTACCACCCCCCTCTCGGCCTGTACTGGCCGCGCCAGTGACGGGGAAGGCGTTGTAGCAACATAGGTGGCTTGGGCAAATGGAGCATCACCGTCACCCGGATGGGTCACGTCCACAAGAGCCGAACTGTCAAGCTCAGCTATATGACTATGTGCACACGAACTCGACGTGCGTAGACATGAAGCTAACAGGTGCAAGCGATCATAGTTGTCAAAACTGATCCAGTGTAACATCATATACGGTAATATCGTCAGGTACAAGGTGAAGATGTGGATCTTGCCAGCTGGCGCCTTAACGGCGCCTAAGTGTAACGAACGAACGCGCCCGGCCACTGCCCCTCCTCGCGTCGCCGCCGTAGTAGTCAGACCACACCATGGGTGACCTATTGGCGGCATCGCCAGGGTCACAGGAGTCCGTGCTCGACCAGGTGTTCTGGAATTTCGATGTCGGTCCAGCACCCGTCACGAGCATCTTCGTTACCATGGCCCTTGAACTTGGCGGTCTTGTCGGTGGTTGGGTCATGGAAATCAGCAGCCTCCCAGGAGTGCGGTCAGGTGCGCGCAGGTAACGCGGGAAGTGAGGATTGTTGTGCCTCTTGCGGAGGAGCTCGTAACCATTTCTTGGATTAAACAGCCGGCGGCTGCCCTTCACCAGCGTGCCTAACTCGCGACCTGGTAACATCACCTGCCACATAAGTGATTATTTGCGCTGGTTCGAACGGTGCCTGACGCCTGGGTCAATTAACGGTAACGAACTAGCATGCGCGTTTCTGGAACGAACGTTGGTGGACATCGAAACCTCCAAGATCGTCTGGTACCAGGCGATCTCGGGTGGCGCCAGGTCTGCCTGGAGCTCGTCCCGGTTGAACTAATCGATGGCATCGCACTGTCGGAGGAACACCTTGGACCCTCGGCAATCTTGAGGAAGTACTTGGCTAACTCTTGGGACTTCGGTGGCAGACCGAACGGTCATGGCGCCCTTGGCGATCTCTCCATGGTTGCTCCACGACTCCTCGCACAGTACCTTGACACCGATGACGAACGGAGTCCCAGGCCACCGCATGCCAGGCCAGGTAGCGACAGGCTCCAGCAACTCCTTCTCCTGTAACTCTGGAAAATCCTGGGTGTAGATCTGTGGCTCTGGAACATGACTTTGGCACCCAGGGCGCGAGCGGGCGGTGGCGTTCGGGCGTAATTCAGCGAGGCTCCCGGGCGCCTGGCAACCGCGGGGCAACTTGAATTAGTGCTGATATGGCTTGAACTCATAACGCATGCTGCTCGGCCCTGTGCCCAGAGAGCCTGGTCTGCCACGCAGGCGGGCCTCGTGACAACGTCGTGGGTAACTGCCGGTACGTGACCCCGAAAGACGGCGCGAAGCTCGTCTGGAGACTCTCGCAGTTGTCCTGGGTAACCTCGTTTCCATGGGCGTCTGTGAGCAAACTCGATGCTGGCTCGCCGATCCAATTGCCGCTGTAACTGCGCCAGATTTTACGAATCGTCTGGGTTAAGACTTTGCGCGGGCGTGGAAATGGGGGTCGTGCGCGTCGTTGTTAGACAGGGGCTCGCGGGAACGCGTGAACACATGTTTTCCTTCAGGGACCTCAGGATGGCGTGGGTCTCGCTGCGAGCGATCGGCTCCTTTGTAATGGGCGCCTCTGCGGGCGACGGATTGCCCGCTTGAGGTGGGGGAATCGCCCCGGTAGCGCCCCCGGCGCACGCGGGGGCCTCCGTGGGCCCGTCGGCTGGAACTAGACGCTGGCGCGGGTTAGCTGGCAACTCGCCCGCCTCTTTGACGTCATCCGTAACCGCCGGCGCGGGCGCCCCCAGAAGCACATTGACTCCGCTCGCTGACGCCCCCCCGCTGCTCGACGCACCGCTGGTGGCCTCGGGGAACGTCTCAGATTTCCCGCTGGGGCTCCTGCCGTCGCCGCCGGGGGCAGCAGTCGGCCGTCTTGGACCTGGAGTGCCTTCGCCTCTTGGCCGACTCGTCCTCCTCGGTGACCTCGGTGGGCGACGGGCTCGCGGGCGGTGGCCCAGACGCCCGGCTGTCGGAGCGTGAGAGGGGCCGCGCATTACCGGCAACCTCTGCGATGCAGGACTTGCCGTGCGTGACGCAGTCGCTAACGGAGTACACTCTGTCGGATATCTCTTCCATGTGAGATGTAACGTCGGCCTTGACTTGAATATATGCCAGCATGGGTAAAGTTTGGGTGATCTTCGAGGCGCCATAGGCTAACTCCGCGACCCTGGCCATGTTCTGCGCGACCTTGCGATGCTTAGCAGCCCGTGCGTCCTCGTCGTCGTCCTGCGCTGTTGAGCTGGTGAACGTACTCCTCGAGCAGCTGGCGCGTCTCCTCGGACTGGTTGAGCTGGCTTTTGACGTCGCTCCGCGTTGACCCTGGTGGCTCGGATGCGGGCGTTGGGCGCCTCCTGTAAAGCTGCGTCGCGATCCGCCATCGTACGTTGTAACTTGGCATGATGCACGTTGCGTTCGTCTCGGCCTGCTCGACATGGCGGCGGGTGCAACCCTCGGTCGCGTCGAACGCCTGGCCCATGTGATCGATTGGCCAGGCGCTCCAAGAGACAGCCCCTGGTGACTTCACCTCCCGGGCGAGGCCCGATTGCCGCGGCGGGCCCTGGCCCGCCAGGCATGCGTCAGACGCCATTTAACAGCGGCGGCTGGCCACTCGGTAGAATTTGGGAACTGCGCACGTTCAGCGCTCGGTGGATGGTGCTAACCAGTGTCTAGCTTCAAGCGGGAGTTGGCATGTGTCGCGCATGAATGTTCCTTAGTATGTCGCTGCCAACGTATTTAGCTAACGTGTCTGCCAGGTTTTCGCGGGTAGGAGCCTTGGCTGCTCTTATGTATCCTCCCCATCACTTTCTCTTTTAACCAATTGGCAGACTTCTATGTGCCTCGCCTTTCCTAACCCTCTCTTGCTGGCTATGGCTACTGCCGCGCTGGCATCGCTCGTCAGGGTTAACTTTACTTCGAACTCATGAGCCTCCAATGCACATTGTATGCCTCGCCCCGATGATGCTACCTTCGCCATGCCATAATAATCTGCTTCGCCAGACGGTAGTGTTATAACACTCTGGGTCGCACTCCATGATTTGACGATGCCTTTGCCCCGCATAACTACCCCCACTCGTAGACCTCCTTGACTTCTCGCACCCTGCGTCATCAGCGTCCGTCGTGGTAACTCATCTGAAAAAAGTGCTGTTCAGATTCTGGGGTGCCCCCAGACTCTGGGGGTTGGGGGTTGCTCCGACTTTGTCTCTCGTTGTCCGACTGTGTCTCCTCGCTCATACCCCCTGCCTCCTTCTCCTGGTCCTCCTCCCTGTTTCTCTTCCTACTCCCTCTTCGCCTGCTTTTCCCAGTCCTTTTCTTCCTATTCCTCCTTTTCCTCCTCCTCCTCCTCAACCTCCTCCTCCTCCTCCTCCTCCTCCTCCTCGCCCCCAGTGCGCCCAGGAGGCTTTCAAGATGGCCCCATGACGGCCCAGGGGGCCCCAAAGACGGCCCCAAGAGGCTTCTAAAACGCCCAATATGGCCGCCAAGACGGCCCTGAAGCGCCTCAAGAGGACCCCACATCGGTTCAGAGAGGCCCCCAAGACGGCTTCCGACGGCGTCAGACCCGTCAGACGGGCTAGGAACGATTTAAGACTGCCAAGGAGAGGCCCCCAAGACGCCCCCACGGCCCCCAAGAGGCCTAAGGCGGCCCCCAAGAGGCTTCCGAGAGGCCCCCGGGGAAGCCCCCAGGAGGCCCCACAAGAGTGCCCCAAGAGGCTCCCAAGAGGCTTCCTCCTCCTCCTCCTTCTCCTCCTCCTTGTCATCCTCTTCCTCCCTCTCCTGATCCTCCCCCTCAGCCTCCCCCAAGCGTTCCCCGAAGAGTTTCCGGAGCGGCTGGGGGAATACATAATCAGATAGCTTGGCCAAGCTGGGGCCCAACGTTTGGCCACATAGGCGCTTCTCAAAAAGGCTGGGGGCGGCGGTGATTCGCCGTAGGCGTCTTGGATCCGCCGCCCCCTGTGCTTGCCACAGGGTTGGACGGCGTGCCAGACATTTTGCTGAGATTCTGATTTTCAAACCCTTCCCAGTGGCCTTCGGCCCAGACCGCCTGCCCCTCGGAAGGACCAGAAGGTGTGGCCCACATCGCCACCAAGACGGCCCAAACGGCCCAATATGGTCACCAAGATGCCTCCAAGGCGGCTAGGATCGCTCCAAGAGAGCCCAAGACGGCTCCAATATGTCTCCAAGACGGCCCAAGATGCACCCGAGGCGTCCAAGATGGCCCCAAGATGGCCCAGGACGGCCCCAAAGGCCCCCAGGAGGCTTTTAATGCAGTCCAAGAAGCCTCCAAAGGGATCTGCAGGAAGGCCCGAAGAGGCCAAGACAGCTGATTTCCCGTGGGCTCTTGATGGATTTTGACGTTTTCGGCCTGCCGACGGCCCAATGCCGCCGAAGAGACCCCCAAGATGGCCCCAAGAGCGCCCAAGAGGCCTCCAAGACGGCCCCATGACGGCCTCCAGACGGTCCAAGAGGCCCCCAAGGCGCCTCCAAGACGGCCCACGAGAATTCCAAGGCGCCCACGATGGCCTTCAAGACGGCTCCAAAACGTCCAAGATGGCAACGATACGATTCGACATAGCCCCAGGATGTCCCAAGACAGCCACAGAGGGCCCCAAGGGCCCCAAGGGGATGCAAGGGGCCTCCTAGACAGTCTAGGAAGTCTTCAAGAGGACCTCCAGGAGAGCCCGAAATGCCCAAATGGTTGTATGTATTCCCTTCAATTGTTGAATAATTTGGGCGCGTTTTCTTTTTCGGCTGTCCGACGGCCCAAGATGTCCACAAGATGGTCCCAAGACGGCCCAAGCTGACTTCAAGATGGCCCCAAAAGGGCCCCAAAGGGCGAGGAAACAGTCCAAGAGGAAGAGCAAGAGGAAAGGACGGAATCAGAGGCCCGAAGCGGCTCCGAGAAGCCTGCAGCTCAGCGCGGGCTCGTCTGCGGACGCCCTTGCCCCCCCCAGGAAAAACATATCACCCCGAGGCCCGGTGATGTTTTGTGGGGCCGCCATCTCAAAGCCCCACGGCCAGCTTTTGGGTCGAGGAGGAGGAGGGGCAGGAGGACGAGGAGGTGATCAACAGGAACCAGAGGAGCAGGAGCAGCAGGAGGACGAGGAGTTTGAGCAAGGGGTCAAGGACGGAATGATAGGCCAGAAGCGGCTCCGCCATCGTCGTGGTCGTCGTGGTCGTCGTCGTCGTCGTCGTCGTCGTCGTCGTCGTCGTCGTTGTCGTCGTTGTCGTTGTCGTCGCCGTCCATAAGATGGCCCCGAGAGGGCCCTAAGAGGGCCCCAAGAGAGCCCCAAGAGGGCTCCGAGAGGGCCCCAAGAGGGCCCCAGGAGTTGTGCAACAACCCAGCGGCCGCTGGTACATAACTCCTGGGGCCCTCTTGGGGCCCTTTGAGGGCCCTCTTGGAGCCCTCCTGGGCCCCTGGTTGGCCCATGAGAGGGCTCCAAGAGGGCCCTAAGAGGGCCCCAAGAGGGCCCCAAAAGGGCCCCAAGAGGGCCCCAAGAGGGCGCCAAGAGGGCCCCAAGAAGGCCCCAGGAATTATGTACCAATCCAGCGGCCGCTGGTACAGAACTCCTGAACCCTCTTGGGACCCTCTGAGGGCCCTCTCGGAGCCCTCTCGGACCCCTGGTTGGCCCTGTAGGGCCCCAAGAGGGCCCCAAGAGGGCCCCAAGAGGGCCCCAAGAGGGCCCCAAGAGGGCGCCAAGAGGGCGCCAAGAGGGCTCCAAGAAGGCCCCAGGAATTATGTACCAACCCAGCGGCCGGTGGTACAGAACTCCTGGGGCCCTCCTCCTCCTCCTCGGCGACGACGACGACGAGGAGGTGTAAACGCACCCATACCAGCCCCTGCAGGACCAGGCAGCGATACTTGGACCAAATTTCCTGGCCCCTGTTTCGACCCCAGAGCTCTCGACCCCGTCCAGGAGCTCCCGACCAACCCGGAGCTTTCGGCCCCATCCTGGAGCTCTCGACCCGCAGACGACGGCGACGACGACGACGACGACGACGCCTCGACCTGGAGTGGTAAGTTTTGCTGCTGCTTTTCCCCAGGGGTTGGAGCCCTCGGGGCCCAGGGGGGCCCCGAAACGGATCCGAAGCCTCAAATTTTTCCGGCCCGCGACCGACGACCGGCGACAACGACGACGACGACGACGACGACGACGACGACGACGGGCATAAGTTATTTGGCGCCCCCCCTTGGGAGCATCGGGTAACTGGGGGGTGCGCTCCACACCCCCCACTTACCCGGTGTCCCCCAGGGGACATCGGGTAACTCGACCTTGCAGGGGGGGGTGTTAGGCACGGGTTACCCGGTGGCGAGGGGGGGGGGCATCGGGTAACTCGACTTTGCACGGGGGGGAGTCGGGCATGAGTTACCCGGTGTCCCCTGGGGGACATCGGGTAAGCGGGGGGTGCGCTCCACACCCCCCACTTACCCGGTGTCCCCCGAGGGGCGTCGAGTAAGTCGACCTTGCAAGGGGCGCATTCGGCATTATTCAGTAAACCAGTGGACCCCCATGGGACATCGGAGTTACCCGGTGGTCCCCGTGGGACATCGGCCCGTGGGACATCGGAGTTACCCGGTGTCCCCCGGGGGACATCGGGTAACTCGACATTGCAAGGGGGGTCTGGGCATGGTTACACGGTGGCCTCCCGTGGGACATCGGAGTTACCCGGTGTCCCCCGTGGGACATCGGAGTTACCCGGTGGTCCCCGTGGGACATCGGCCCGTGGGACATCGGAGTTACCCGGTGTCCCCCGTGGGACATCGGAGTTACCGGGTGGTCCCCGTGGGACATCGGCCCGTGGGACATCGGAGTTACCCGGTGTCCCCCGTGGGACATCGGAATTACCCGGTGGTCCCCGTGGGACATCGGCCCGTGGGACATCGGAGTTACCCGGTGTCCCCCGGGGGACATCGGGTAACTCGACCTTGCAAGGGGGGGGTCTGGGCACGATTTACCTGGTGCCCCCCCGTGGGACATCGGAGTTACCCGGTGTCCCCGTGGGACCCAGGGGCCGGCAGGATCTTAAAATAAGAACGAGATTTTAGTTCTTATTTTCAGATAAGAAGAATTTGTGATTTCTTCAGAATCTAGAAGAATATTGGAGAAAGCAATGAAATGCCAACATATGCCCGAACATTGTTGTGAACCTGTTGTTTTGTATCAGTGTCGGTTGCCCCCCTTACGTTGAGCGCACTCGCAACGCCCACTTGGACATTG